TAACTGATAGACAGACATCTCCTAGAAAACACAGCTCAGAATGAGCATGTGTTTGATTAGCTGGCCATCGGTCTTCATTTGATCTTCCCCCTGAAGATTTTTCTTTTCTTTTCTCTCTCTCTCTCTGGGTACGTCTACACTGCATCCCTAGTTCGAACTAGGGATGCAAATGGAGACAACCAAAGTAGTTAATGAAGCGGGGATATAAATATCCCGCGCTCCATTAACATGATCTCGCCGGCACGCTAGTTCGAATCACAGCTGATTCGAACCAGGAAGTGCGCGCCGGGACACGTTAGTTTGGACTAAAGCCCTTAGTCCGAACTAATGTTACTCCTCAAAAAACAATTAGTTCTAGTTTGACTAGTGTATTTTTCAGCAAATAAAATACTTGTCCAAAAGAAAAAGAAAAAGAAGAAACCATCCAGCTCAATTCCTGAAAGTTGAGCTTGAACAAGCCCTAGCCCAGTGATCTCCAACCTTTTTAAATTCAAAAAGTGATCTTGTGCTTAAGCGCAACCCAAGATCTACCTCAGACCCAAATATCCTTGCTGGGCCTTCTTTGTACCCCTTCTCCGAAGCCCCACTTCTGCTCATTCCGTCTTCTCTCCCTCTTTCCCCTTCCTCCCTCCCTCCCCCCTCTCCATCCTCCCTCACTTTCCCCAGGCAGGGGCAGTGGGTTGGGGTGCAGGCTCTGGTCTTGGATTAAGGGATTTGGAGTGTGAGAGGGGCTCTGAGCTGAGCTTGGGGCAGACCATTGGGATGTAGGAGGGGGTTCTAGGCACAGGCTTTGGGAGGGCATTTGGATGCAGGGGGACTCGGGGCTAGGGCAGGGGCCTCGGGTTCAGGAGGGGGTTCATGACTGGGGAAGGGTTTCGGGATGTGGGCTCCAACTGGGCACTGCTTACCTCAGGTGTCTCCTGGGTGCTGGTGCAGGGGAGCTGAGGCAGGCTCACCCCTGCCCTGGCCCTGCACCACTCCCAAAAGCAGCTAGTAAACTCCCTCCCAAGTTCTGTTGTATCCCCTCTCTGCTCTGTGGAGATAGGATACAGGGTGGGAGAGGGGACAACTTGACATGAGTACCCCTTCTCTACCTCCCCTGCCCTGCACAGAAAGCAGGAGGTTCCTGAGGGGACAGCTCTAAGGCAAAGGGCAGGAGATGCGCAGCAGTGGGGGGAGGAGCAGTTGACGTGCCGGCTCTTGATAGCCTCTTGGCCAAACCAGTTAGGATCCCCTGTCACAGGCTCAAAGATCTACTAGTAGATCCTAATCTACTGGTTGGTGACCACTGCTCTAGCCTCCAGTTTTGAGAGTCCACTGATTTTAGATGCTTCAGCATCTGATTCCTCAAACTGGCGACCCAAAATTGGCAGGTACTGTTGAAAATTGTGTATTTAACCTCTCACTGTCTCTTTCCTTATATGTAAACTAGTAAAATACTTATCTAAATAACTCTCAGTAGTGGTATGGGATTTAAGGGGGCCAAAGACCCTGGCAGTTAACTAAATGCCTTTTGCGTCCAGGGACATACAAGGAATTTGAAGCCATCCTAAGTGAGTAACTGGAGATCTCCAGTGGAGTTATGCCACCACTTCCCAGGCTCCCTGACATATGGATGTGTTGAGACGTACCAGGAGCTGGAGATGGTGTGCCCACAGCGTACAGCTCTCTAGCAATCACCGCCAGTGTAACAGTTCCTGTGATGCTGTTAGAGGAAACTAAGACAATCCTGGTAATCTTCTATGTTGAACCAGGAGGCTAGTCAGTTTGTGGCTGTTCAGTAGTCATGAGAGAGGGGTGGAAAGATAGTGAAAAGCCACTTCTGCATTCCCTCCGCCCCCTCTCTGCCCCAGCCTTCAGGTGCCTTGAATAGTACCCTGACCCACATGTGAGAATATGGGCTAATATTTATACTGCTTTTTACATATATAATGTGTTAAATCCTAAGTTTTGATCATTTTATTGAAAAGTCAGACTTTTATTAAGTGATGTAAGTATAACTTAATGCTAAAAGCTGGGCGATGGGGGTTCTCAAGCACATACTCTCACTAGTTGGGTGAGAACTAGCATGAGTATAAATAATAGGGTAGTTACAATAGCATGGGCAGTGATAGTGGAGGCTTGACTTAACTGTACAGAGTATGAACCCCCTGCATACATACTTTGCTACCGCTGCCCGTGCTACCACATATATACTGTTGTTTATATTCATACTAGCTCTCAAACAAACAATGCTAGTATGACTGTGTGAGGGAACTACACAGCTAACTTGTAATGTTTCCATAGCTTAAGTCTCACTGAAGGACAATGAGACACAGACTTCCACATGCTTAAATCATTTTTTAAAGTGGGACTTAGTCCTGGAATCTGGCCTTCACACAGCCATTGTATTGGTATAACTATATTGGTTAGGGTGAAATTTTTTTTTTACTGGTATTTCCATAATGTGGATGCAGGCAAAGCAGGATACAAATGCACTTTATGTTTGCAAATCAGCAATTCTGGTATAAACACATTTATACCAGTGTTACTGTTTCAACTACTGAGTGGGTGTAGCCCTTACACCAGTCCAGTTATAGGTGTAAACTTTTATGTGTCAACAAGGCCTCACTAAGTCATTTTAGGCACTTTTGAAAATTTTACCAAACTTCTTCATTTGGTTCAGAACACTCATTGTGGAAGAACAGAGCAATATAAAACCGCTAAAAAATATGATGCTATATTGGTCAAGTAAATTGTATCACCAAGTAAAGGAGACAGGGATGTAAAAAAACAAAGACATTTCTTAATTTGACCCCACACCTAATTCTCACTTTGTTATCTTTTGACCTAGTACCGAACTGACCTTACTGTTGCTAGTTCTTGTTTTTAATCCTGCCCCAGGATCAACTTATTGTTATTTTAACCCTTACTATTTTTTCAATTTTTGTTATATTTATTTGACCTATGCCTAGCTGCCATGTTTTCCTTTCCTAATTTATCCTTTGTATTGTGCTATTTTTAACACATGCCTAGTTTCTCTCTCAGGCTTTTCTATTACAGAATATGTGTGGGAGTTTTTATAAATCTAAGTACCTTTTATTCTTGTGGCAGGCTGAATGATGATTCAAAAATATATGATGATTCCTATAATATTAGGAAAGTAGTAAGATAGTTAATTTTGGTAAGATTTTTACAGTATTTGCAGATATCACCATGAGAACTGTACTTATGTGTTTCGTCCCCACACTGACAGATGTCAAAAGCACAGAATTCAAGTTGTACCTGGAGGGTAGGCAAATACTATACTCTGCAATGTTAGCAATTGGTTATCAATGTATAATATATTTCTCTTTCTCTTGTTTGTGTAGGAAAAACTGGCAGCATCCCATTTCATCTTGAGCTAATGATCCAACACCAAATTAATCTAAGATGATCATCTAGGCATAAGAGACTAGACTGAGACATTTAGGAACAGACTTACTATAAGAGCTGCTAAGTGACACTCGCCTAGGGGAGCCACTTTATGGCATGCAATTCTCTCCACTGAGCAGTACTTGGGGTATTGGAGCCATAGCCCTGCCTTCTTCCTAGCTACCAGGCATCCCAAGGGGATGTGAGGCAGAGAAAACCGTGCTTCACAAACTACCGAATCTTCAGTTCTCACTAGCCTTTATGTGGGCTACACATAATGGAAAGGGAAGCTTCTTACCTTTTGCATCACCATGCATAGCCCTGTTGAGGCCCAGAAGAATACAGGAACTGCATTTTTCAAGTGATCAGTGGGACTTGTAGGCTCTCAGTTCCTCAGAAGATCAAACCTCAAAGGAACGTGGCCAGGATTTGAAAAAAACGAGCACCTCATGTTATTCTCTGCTGTTCCTATTTAGACACCTAAATAAGTAGCCTCAGGTGAGGAGCATGCAGAAATCATTGTTCTTGGCTACAACAGGAGCTGGTAGGTGCTCAACACTATTGATAATCAAGCCATTTATTTAGGTAGCTCAGTACAGACTTGGGCCTTACACTTGCACTTCACTTATGCCTGTACATTGTCCCATTGATATCAATGGGACAACTTACATGGGTAAAGTTAAGTATCTGCACAAGTGTTTATAGAATAACACATTGCAGCCTAACTTCATGCACCTGTTTTTTTTTTTTTTAATTTTGGCCTAAAATTATTCCTGCATATTTTATGAGACCAACTGAAGTTCTTCTAAAAGTCTTTCAGTGCTGGATCGCTAGGAAAATAAAAAATTACTGGTGATATTTAAATAGTAATAATTCAGAATAGTATAACAACAAAAGCTGATGACATGTTCATGTTTCAATCAATCTGTAGTAAGAAAGTTGACTGCAATGAAGATCAGTATGGGTTGGTGTAAGTTATTTAACTGAAAGCTAAGGGTTCTTCCTGAGATAATAATGATACTATGGCCTAAATAAAGTGAGGCTGAAAGACAAGGCGTTTATTATAGCTACAACTATTATCAAGATAATAGGAAGCATTGATCCATTATAATTATAATGAAATGCCCCATCATAGTTTTTCAAATATAATTGGGCTTAAAATAATGAAATATGTTAGTTGATTGAGGGTCCATGGATGGTGAGGGCAATAGTGGATCAGGGACTTGCATACTGTTTCCAATGCTGGAAAGTCAGTAACAGTACAACATTTCTTCCCTTTGACTGGGATTATTCCATTTCATAGAAATTAGCAAGAAACTATTGTCATAATAGTCTGTGAAGTAGTTTCTTCTGCTGGCAAAGAGCATCATGCAACTGTGCCCCATCATCAGGAGTAATGTGGGCATGAAGATGTAAGAATAGATCTCTAAATATACAGACATCAAATGTTTTCAGCAATATTTTGAATTTTGCATCCCAGGCTTTCGGAGGAGCCTGTATGGACATGTTAGGATGGGATATCCAGAGTAGGCCATGGAATGCACAGGTTAGATCAAGAACACAACCACTGTCACTCAGTTTGAGGATAATCAAGACTGAAGTCTCACCTCTTGGTTCAGCATGGGCATGCAGCCTGAGCTTTTGTTGGTGAGCTGCAAGGGTGCTATCTAGCTTGTCATGTCTAATAACTTTCCCTTCTGAAGTCTGATATGCTGAAAGATCTGTGCTGCTGATGTTAAAAGCTGGATTTTCAATGCCTTCTGTTGCTGCTCTCTCTTCTTTTACTATAGAAAACAAGGAGGTCAGAAGAGCACATTATACCAAAGTGTATTTCAATGACAAGCAGAAAATTCCTTCTAGTAATTCCTTTGCTGAAAGACTCAAGTGTATCGTCCTCAAATGTCGCCAAAACGGAATTAGGTTAAAATTAACTCTAAAAAAAAGAATAAATGATTAAAATAATTACAAATTGCACCCTGACAAGCAAGAGCAAAATTTCGCCCACAGCCATTTGTCTGTAATTAGTTAATTAATCCTTACACAAATTATGAGCAATAACTCATCAAGCAAGGCTCACCCATCAGAAATTCAGCCGACTTGGATTTCTTCTGCTTAGTTTGCTTCAGAGCCTTCTGCTGGAACTTCTGGAGGGAAATTGTTAAATGAATAAATTAGCTAAAGAACGAAGATCATCCTTTATGATCCACAACTAACACAGTATTTTAAATAAGGGATGGCATTGAAATGTCATTTAATTTACATCGCTGCTAAAGGGGTCAAACATTAATTGAACAACAGAAGTGGAAGAATTAAATAAAATGGGAGAAGAAAAGTTAAAACAAATGCCAAATGAAGGTCACATTAAAATACTTTGTTTTTTGCCATTTTTAATTAATGCAAAGCTTCAACAAATGAAGAGATTAGAAAACTCATTTTTGGAGTATGCATTCAGCACAACTGCTCTGTTTCACTGTTAGAAAATAAAAGCTGCATTTTAGAAAGTTTGGTTATGCAGTGCATTTTCAAGTAGCCCTGCTCTTGCTTTTCTATAGGTTATTTTTGTTTATTTGTTTATTTATTTATTTCCAGATCCACTTACATAAAACAATGTATTTGTTTAGAATAAATAAACTAATAAAGAGATATCAGTGTTCCTATAAAACAGCAGAATGATAAAACAAAATCTTTACTTTTCCCAAAATAATTAAAACCACAAAAATTCAGGCGATGCCACCAGACATATTACATGACTGGGGTGGGAGAGGGAGTTAGTGGAATTCGCTACATTGCTGAAAGTTCATTTAATATTGAAAGCATGTAAAAATATGGTTACAATATAAATGAACAGCAACAAATTTTATTAGAGGCCTCAAGTACTTACAAGTTGTAAATTACATACTCAGGGGATAAGAGGCACTAAGCTGATGCAGTAGCAATACTGTGAGCAAGGCCCAAGTTTTAAACTTGATCTTTGTCTGCTTGATAGCAATGAGATGTTCACACAGAGGACCAGGATTGAATATAGTCCTGTATAATTAATGCTTATAATAAAAATAGCAATCAGGTAAATAGCAATGTAAAAGTTGCAAACTGTGGGCAGTAGCTAAAGTAAAATGGCTGAGTTCTAAGAACAAAGTTAATTACTTGTTTTAGAATGTTGTGCCATATTTTGTAAATTGTTTTGTTAATTTCTGAAGTGTTAATTTTTATGCCATTTATTTAATTGTTCTGATGTAAAGACCATGCTACAAATAGAGCTACTGAAAAAAGCCAATCTGATATTTTTACATAATAACAATATTAATTGAAAGTGTACTATAGAATGAACACTTTTCCCATTTTCTATTTTTTCCCCTTTGATTGTGTGTATAAATTTCCAGCATGTCAGGATGGGCGCAATTGACACAATCAATAAATATGTCAACAGTAATTGACCCACAATACTGACTGAGTATGAAATATTCTTTACTGATAAGAAAACATTGTATATGCCATTTGGAATAATCTGAAATTGCCAATACTTCTCTGAATTAAGAAAGCCTCTTTATTATTAATAGACAGATACTTGTAAAAACTGGTTTGATATTTAAACTTACTTTTATAAGAATAGAAGCATAAGTTCATTTGCATTAACTGAAATGTTGTGGTAAAATCGTATCCCCATTATAGTTAATGGTAGTTTTGCCATTTGTGTCCATGATCTTATGAATTTATCCCTAATGTTTAATGATTTTTTTCAATTAAATTCCTACCTTTTAAACATAAATAATTCAGCTAATGACTTTAGAATAACATCATTTTTGCAATTGTATTAAAAGATTTTTCCTTGGTCTTATAAATCAGAAAATATTACCTTTATATATTTAAGAGATGCAAATGTCATTTAGAATGTGGGCACTGGACTTCAAAACAGTAATGCTGATTTACATCAACTAAAGAGTTAGCCCTTAAAGCATGAATACATTCCATCTATATACTGGATTTCCAAGACAAAACTGAAATGCAGGCTGTAAGATCTGCTATTTCAAAACTTTCAAATACAGTCGTTCACAAAATACACACATTCCTTCTGTGGTTTAAAAAAAAAGTAAAGATATTATTCTTTTTTCACAATTTCCAACAAAGGAAACACCAGATATTATTTTTCCTGCCACAGTAATCTGCATTCTTGGGCATTTCACCTGCTCAAACTCAAAGAAACATTTTTAAATCACCTCATGCAACATATCGGTAGCTCCAGTTTACTTACAAAGAACTTCAAAAGAAATTACACACTTGTTCCTTAATGTGATTAGGATTTCAAAGGTGGGTTGTTTGGGGAGAGGGTGTGTGATTCTTTCTTTCTTTCTTTCTTTCTTTCTTTCTTTCTTTCTTTTATTACGATTTCATATATTTGCAATGAAAGCAATACCTGATTTTCTACAGCAGAGATAAATTCTTATAGAGTTACTTCTCAATGAACAATGGTGTATTTCTGTGGCCTGGGCATATCTAACACATGTTCTTGTCACTTTGTGCTTCAGAGGAAATTAGTAGACATTTTTCTTTCCTATCTTTTGCTAGTCAATTTCCTTACCTTTCTCTCGTTTACACATGGGCACCTTTAAACATGGTAAATTACCTCTTTTCTTTTTTTCAGTTAAGATAATTTCCTCCCTGATTATACTTTGTTTTCTCATCAGAGAACGTGCAGAAAATTATTGTTACATTTTATATTTATTTTACCATTAGTCACTACTAGTTAATGTATGTGTTTATGCAAATTTATATCCGAAGTAATAGTTCTTTAATCAATTCACATATAACTAAAATACTTATATTTAAAACAGCAAATTAAAGCAAACTCTTTCAATGACTACATGCCATACTTTCAGCCAGCTTTGTGTGGGTGTATTTGTTAATATATACATGCACACATGCCAGTACACAAATACATCACCTTATTTATAGCATGCTACCTGGAAAAAGCAGCAATAGATCATATACTTTTAAAGAAAGTAATAAAGTTACACATCTTGGGCTAGATCCTTAACTGGTATAAACCAGCATGGCTCTTTTGGTTTCAATGAGCTACATTAAGTTACAGCAACTAAGGATATGGCCCAATTTATACACATAATATAAATCAAGCCTTTGTGTTCATGAACGACACATATAAATTTGATGGCATGTGTTCTCAAAGTCAAATTTAAAATATGAGTCTCCTAATGCAGATATCCAATTTTTAGATTTACACTAGAGATACTAAAAATAAATGCTGTTGAACTATAATATAGGAAGCATATTCTTGTACTGTGTAACAGAAAGGTGATAACTAGTGATTCCAGCCATGTAAAACTAATCTGCATACAATTTAAGACATGTACTAAACCTCTAAATATTTTTTTTTTTTGTTATGGATGTTGTGGTATTTAAAATACAATGGACTGTTTTCTGATAACTATTTTTTAAAGCAAACTGTATAGAAATAAATCTATGTGAGAACAGCAAGCACTGCCACAAAAAAAACTCCTCATTTATAACCAGTGACAACTAAAACCTATGAAGTTTTTAAAAGAATGTGATTGTTGTCAAAAGGAATTGGGTACAACAGGGCTGTGTTCAGTTCTGGTTCCACTCAAAGCCATGGCTGAGGGGCTCTGGGAAAGCTGCTGCAAGGCTGGTGGGCACAGACCAGCAAGAAAGTGAATTTTGCATACTGTACGGATCATCGCTCAGTTCAGGGCAGTCAGATTGAATCTGCAATCAACCAATTGTGCTTCATGAAACCGTCAGCCCTCATTTATGTCTAGCTGTTTTCTTCTGTCCTGCTGTAAACAAGCTCTGCTCTGAGCTGTCTCCCTACCCTTATCTGCTTAGGAAGATCACACAGACAGACCTCATCAGCAGCCTTAGAGTTAAAGTTAAAGTTACTGCTTCCAGACAGCAGTCCCTATGCAAGCTGGAAGTCAAAAAGAAGAGCAACTTTGGAATGACAGAGTTTTAGTTCCTTTTAGGAAATATATACCTTAGATTCAGACACATACTGGCATGTTATGTCTCTTTCATGAAATTAAATTAGGTGTTCCTAATATGAACAACTGTTTCTAACATCAGCAAACTAGCTCAGCAGATTCATCCATAGTTTTGTTTATTTTTTTTTCCTTTGGGGCCTTGTTTGAATACAGCCAAAAGAGAAGTAGCTGGAAATATTGTCAATCTGGTAGGGCTCCAAGAACCTAATAATGCCTGAAATGCTCCAAGGAGTGTAATGACGGTAAACAGGAACAGGTATCTTGGCTTCTGTTCTCATTCACTTCAGTGGGAGCATTAGCCTTTAAACATAAAGCAGAATGAAGTTTTTCAAGAATGGTCCTCTTGCATAAAAATGGATGGAGCCTTCCTAAAAAAATAGTTCTCCATGAACCCACTCAAATATATTATTTGGTATTTACAGCATTTAATTCTGATAACCATCTGGTATCTCCCTGTTAAGCTTTCATTTATGCAGCTGGAGTTGGAACCTTTTCCCTTCTCCCAGTCTATTACTTTATCTGTTTAAGGGATAACAGCCAAAGTGAAACAGCTTGTAATTTGCACCTGTCTGCTTTTAAGCATTCCATGCTAGATTTCATGGAGAGCAAACTCTTCACTGCTAATAAGAATGACACTCGATAGGATCAAGGCATTTTTCTTTAGCTGGTTTTGTAGCAATTTTTTCAAATGATAAAATAAAATAAAATAAAATAAAATACATATATACTTTAAATATGCCTATCTGGGCTAACGGGAAAATCCAAATGAAAACTACTCTGTGTGTAAAAGGAATGTGTGTGTTCATAATACCACAGCACCTATATTGTACACACTAGGCACAGCGGAAATCAAGATTCTATCTACAGTGCAGTGGAAGAAAACTCCATTTGCACTGTGAAGTGCAATACACACTCCAAACTGTTTCAGTGAATTGCCATCTACAAACTGGTAAGAAGGTTACACTGAACTTTGGTGTACAGGGTTTTCAGTGGGTATTGGCGGTTCTCATCTCCTCACAATATCAGGCCCATATTAAATTTGTTGTCAGAAAAAAATAATCCTGGGCATTATTCTAGCCCTCATTTTCGGAGAATTGCAGTGTTGGACTACAAAGACAACTTAGCTCTAAAAGAGGGAATTTTTTTTTAAAAATAGATTCACTGTGATTTTACTGTTTTATAAAAGCTGCTTTCATGTGTTTGACATAATAAATTAATTATTTGGTTATAAAGGAAGTACTATATCTTAAATGAACTGTAACAACATAGGAAAGTACTTTCCAAAGAATATTCACAATTAATTGACAAATTATTTTAGTTATTAAGGTTTGTAATTTTTGTTGTGCCTTTTTTCTTCTTCCTGATGTCTGTAAAACACAATAAGAAAAAAAGCTGCATAACTGATGACAGAAAAATAGCACTGCGGGAATGAAAGGGAAATGAAATGAACTAAAAAGTGCAATTTATTAAATAAAAGACTGGTGTCGCATTTTGATTCCATAAATTGTCCCCATTTGTACTTCCTGTTTAAACAATAACCAACATGATGATGGGTTAAATTAAGTTGATATTGTCACAAACGTAGCCTCACTAGTAATTAATGTAGTTTAATATGGTTGTTGGCACACATCTCACATGACAGATAATGTTCCAACATGTCACTGATAGGACCTTTCAGCACAGCTTTAGGAGATCTACCAGGCATTGCCGAGGTTGGTTAGGTCAAAGGGTTGAACCATGTGTAATTCAGAACAGAAGAGGTCCCACGGTCACTCCACAAAAACAATTACACTACTTATTTCACTCTATCCCTTGCCCGAAATTCACAAGCCTCACAGTTTCAGTGCAGTCAATCTCATTCTGCCCTTGGGCTATAAGCCACATGAAAATATGTGGTGCTGTGTTTATAAATCTAATCAAAAATAGAAACAGTAGACAAGCACAATGAGGTCCTACTATGGATCATGGGAATTCTCTAAATTCTGAAGGCACTTTTGTTTAACTTCTATAGGCCCTCTCTTACCACTACTTTGTCTAACACACTCGTTAATCATCCCCTTTGCTTGTCAATGATTCAAAAGAGACTACAAGTCTCCTAATTTCCCTCCAATCACCCTACAAATAATATTATGAAATATAAATGTTAGGAATATCCCTATTTTATTTTTAAGTAAATATTATTAATCTTCACTTACCGCTGTGTCCATGGTTGTCTGCCCTTTCTCAGATGTGCAACAGAATGAAGAAAGCAATTCTGCCTACAAACAAAAATAGAGCGCACACAAAAATAAATCACAGTTTTAACCTGTACACAGTCAATCTATTTTCTACTTATGTTTGCATAGTACCATTCTAAAAGATGCTGCTAGAGGGGAAGAGAGTGTTTCATCTTTGTAGACCTAACAAACTTGAGCCCGAGAACAAAGTGAGGACAGTGCAGTTTCTTTACTTCCTTCCTGTGAAGAGATGTCCTCATCAGGTTAAAAACACAGTTAAAACTAAAATAAAATTTAGCATCCTTAGGAAAGACGCAGATGTGTTTGAGGGCAGAGTGAGTTACCTTGTAACTCTACAGAAAGTGGGCATTCTAGGTCAACCTGCAGTAATTGTCAAGGCTGTGTGAAGTTTGTATAGGTATAACCACATTTAACCTGGAGGTAATTACGTGATTTGACTTTTCAGTAAGGGTACTGGAACTAGGGGTGTTGCCATAGCCCCTGTCTTGAAGTGGTTTCCACTAGCTACAGGGTTTGCAGCCTGGTTCTAAGGCTTTCGGCACCCCCACTGTATGAATTGTTCCAGTGCCCCTGGTTTCCAGTGTTGTGAGTCCTACTATATTAAGAATTCTACCATCATTTAAATACACAAGGCTAGATACACAGAGGGACATAGGCAATGTGTCCATGAACAGTATGCCTATCCTGCAGACATCTAAAAAAGAAATCACAACACTTGAGATTCACAAAGCCCAAGACAGGCACCTAGGTGCCTGTAAAACATTAGATTGAAATCTACAAGGCCAGAGCAGTAGTGTAGTGCTTCTTAAACTAGCTAGTGGGAGATGCTGACAACTGGGATGTGTCCTAAGCCATGGCTCTCTTGCAGAGATCGGTGCCTATCTTGGCTAGTGATACAGAAGTAGAAATTTCTCCCCTGGAGTCAGATGGCTAGTTTCTTGGGAGAATGGAGGGAAGCATTTGTCTAACTCCAACAGGGGGAAGGGCATGTGTAGAGAGCCGTACTAGCGATGTTAATAATTGTGTATTTCTGTAAATGTATAATTGCTGACATTTTTAGTGGTTACACATTTACGCATGGGGGCAGGTGCTTGCAGGGAGCTAGCACCTATCAGTCCTCCAGGCTGTGGCCTCTACTGGAGGCAGCAGAGAGAGGTGGGGCAGGCAGCCTCTATGAGTGGCTAGGCAGCCAGGGGGTGGTGTAATGCGTGGAACTGTTAGGCTGAATTGATAAGCCTGGGTTTATCAGTTAATCATGTAAATGATTACACACCAGCATCTTTAGATCCTACCTTCTTTCAGTGCAGTGATCAGAGCACTCTCCAGGATGTGGGAAATTCAGGTTCAGTTTCCCCCCCTCTGCTAGGAAGGGAGAGAGAGGATTTGAACAGGGGCCTCCCACTTCTGAGAAGCGGGTTCTAACCACTGAGTTATGGGATAGTCTGATATGGGCTCCCTCAGTCTTTCCTATTGAAGCCTTTTAATTAAAGAGTCATTGGCATAGAAGGACTGGACCCAAGGTCTCCCACTTCCTAGACAGGTGCCCTAACCACTGGACTGTAGAGTTCTTCTTACTCTTTGGCTGAATGACTCTACATCTCGGGTTCAGGCACCGATGTACCTTTGTGAATCCCACCCACAAGAACTACATTTTCCTTACACCTTGCCAGCAAAACTCCTATTATTTTCACGGGTGAAGTATCAGGCCTATAAGGAATAGGACATTGAAAAGTCCTTTCATTATGTATTTATGTAGATACACATTCAGATTGTTTGGCAGAGGATGAAAACAACCCCCCACCCCTGCCAAAAAAAAAACCCCTTCAAAAATAAACATGCCTCTTCAACTTTCCTCACATCTTTAGTTGATCTTCCAGGCTAGAAGAATGCATTATATAAAGGACTTTTCTGACTTCAATTGAAAAAATACCCTCTATTCAGGATATCAGATAAGTCTGTAGTTTATTTTAAGCTTGTTCTTAAATCCCATTGCAATTAACGGGAGTCATGCATGTACTTTAAGTTATCCACGTGCTGTCCTGACCAAGGATGAATTTAAACACAGACCTAAATACTCTCCTGAATAGAAGCCTCTTATTTGTTGTTGGGATTACATACCCAGTAAGTTACCCACTCAGTGCAAGTAAGAATGATAATAGCGAACATGCTATCTGAATTTTCAGTTCCTAATCAAAGCAAGTGACAGGGGTTTTGTTCTTTGTCTGGTGTGGGGCTTTAGCAGAAACTTGAGAATATTTGTCTGTATGGAAAAACCTTAAAGCCAAAATTATTCTGTTTAGGACATATGAGGGATGGCTTTTTAGATTTATCAGAATTAATATAAATAAACATGAAGCTCCCAGCTAAGAAACCCACTAGTTTAAAGAAAGGTGGTGCCTGGTCAGCTTTCCAATTCTTCCTCCTCTCTCTGCTCTTCCAGTTGCTCCCACTCTCAGACATCACCCCAACTTCTGACAAGTTTTCTCATAGCCTTCTTTCAGGGGCAACACCTCACCCCTCATCTCTCATTGAGTGCCACCACTATGCCCAGTTTTGCAGTCTCCTGTTTTCCACCACTATCTCTAAGGCTACATCAACACTACACGCTTATTTTGAAATAAGCTATTCCAGAAAAGTTATTCCAAAATAGTTTATTTTGAAATAGCATGTCTACACTTCAAGAAAGCCTCAAAATTAGTCCAAGGCAGGCTTCCCTAATGTAGATGTGATATCTCGATTTAGAGCCCCAGGAGGCACTGGGGAGGAATAACTTAGGCTTGGTCTACACTATACCCCTCTTTCAGCAGAGGGATGTAAATAAAGCACATAGGAAGTGCAAATGAAGTGGGGATTTAAATATCCGTTACTTAATTTGCATAATCACATTTGGGAACTGTTTCAAACAAGCGTCATTTCGAAACTGAAACTGCAGCTTAGCTGCGGTTCTGCCGAAAGCGGGGTGATTTTTCGACAGATTCTGTATTCCTCATTTTTTGAGGAGTAAAGGATCTGTCAAAAAATCACCCCGCTGTCATCAGAACCGTGGCTAAGCCTCGGTTTTAGTTTCAAAATGGCGCTTATTCTAAACAGCGCCCAAATGTGATTATGCAAATGAAGCACAGGATATTTAAATTCCCGCTTTATTTGCACTTCTAATGTGTCTCATTTGCATCCCTCTGCCGACAGAGAGGTGTAGTTTAGACACGGCCTTAGAATGTCGCTGGTGAGGGACTATTTCGAAATAGCAGCAGTGGAGTGTCTAAACGCCTTATTTCAAAATAGCTATTTCGGAATAGGCGTTATGCCTCGTAGAATGAGGTTTGCAGATTTCGGAATAAATTACTTCAAAATAATGGAATGGCTGTGTAGACGCTCACATTATTATTTTGAAGTAACTCTAGTTATCTCAAAATAACAGTGCAGGGCAGACTCACCCTAAGACAGAACCCCTTTGAATCTGGCTTCTGCTCCATTAGCCGCATTTCAGCACAGATGGAAGCTCTGGGCAGAGCAGAATGGAGGGAGAAAGTCTGCACCTCCAGAAGTCTTGTTCCCCTCCAACCCCCATATCTACTCTCCCTTCCCTAAAGAATCTATCCTTCACACTGGACAGGGCTACATGAATCATGGCTGTAAAATCCAGGCTGTATCAAATGTCCATTGAAGTCAATGGTAGTCTTTTCTGAATCTTCATTTTCTTTGCTCAACCAGGAGTGAAAAGTTGAACTCTGTCTAATCACTGCCGGTGCTGAGTCTCCTGACCTTTGTCACCTTCACTGGATTCCAATGCCCTCCTGTGGGTGCCAACATCATCACAGTTAGTAGTTTCATGAGGGTGCCAGAGAATTTTGCAGTTTCTGTTGCTGCTGCCTTGACAGCTACTGTACAATCTCCTGCATTGTTTTTCAGAGTTGGTACAGAAATTCCTGTGTAAAATAGAGGTGCACACAACTTTCCTCAGGTAACACATCAAGTCAGCAGCAGGTTCAGAAAACTAGGAATTGCAATTAATAGGATTCATGTATGTACTTTAAGTTATCCACGTGCTGTCCTGACCAAGAATGAATTTAAACACAGACCTAAATACTCTCCTGAATAGAAGCCTCTTATTTGTTGTTGGGATTACATACCCATACTACCCAGTAAGGTACCCTCTCAGTGCAAGTGTGAATTTTCAGTGCCTAATCAAAGCAGGAGACAGAGATTTTGTTGAAACAAAAGACAGGACTATGCAGCACTTTAAAGACTAACAAGATGGTTTGTCTGGTGTGGGACTATGACTCTCAGAGCTAGTATTGGGGGCCTATACAAAGACTTCTCCCCAGTTGATTCTTTTTTGCTTGCCTTCCACTTTGCTCAATTACCCACCCATGCTCTGCCCCCACTTAATTCAATAGCTAAACTATAATTGACTTCAATAGTGCAGCATCAGATTCCTAGTTACTTATCTGAATAATTCCTTCCTTCAGAGACACATCTGGTTACTACTTAGTTGTGTGCAACTATAAGAAACGAAGCAAATAAGAATTCCACCAATCGAGAAGACTGGTTCAGAAAAAGCCTGTTGATAAATGACTATGTCAATCCCAACATTGCTGTGGTGACTCTTTCTAAGCAGAATTGGGCAAAGCTGCTATAAGAAGTGAGTCAGTTTGAGAATGAGAGAGAGATAAAAGATATAATCTGACATAGCACAAACAGGTGTGGTGATATGAATATACGCAGGCCTGGTACACAGAATGCATCACATGCTAAGGGGGAGATATGTAGCAGGAATACCATGTTAGAATATTGATAGTAAACCAGTAGTAAAACATAACCTTACCAGTCTATAGAAGACTCCCTTTGGATACTCTCATAAACCTCAGTCAGCTTATCCTGGGCTCCACAAGGTGTATCTTGAAGGCAAAAGGCCCACCCATAACTTAAAATCAGTATAGGAGCCATAAAGGCTATGCCTTTCCTTTTCTAAGCCTTGATTTTAGGAGCCTACTCAAGTTTAATCTCAATGTCTTTTCCCC